AACGAATAATTCGTTAACGCTATAACGAATTATTCGTTATACATACCGCATAATTCGTTATAGCGTTAACGAAGATTTTTATAACGAAGTCCTGATCGGCTGGATCAGCAACTTCGTTATATCGAGGTGTGACTGTATATATATGCTGATTTTATGTTCCAAGATTTGAATCATTAGAACACATTTATATTATATTTTACCACATTTTCAGACATATTAGAATATAAATTGAGATGATTTTTTCATATTATACTGTCTCTAATATCCTTAGAGAAATTTTTCTGAAGACACTTCTTAGAAACAACTATGATATCAATTTTGGGAGTTTTAAATTTACTGATTATGTTTTTTTATATTTGTCTCTAATGTCTTTAGTATTTCTAAGAAAAAGTAAAGTTCTAAGAAAAAGTTCAAAATTTTCCTATGATATATATATGATATATGTATATTATATATCAATATATCTATAGGTGAAAAAAATAAAAAAGTATGAGTATTTGATTTTTTTCTAAGGATACTAAGGCTATTAGGAACACCTATTAAGAAGTCTTTTGAGAATTCTAAAAGTGTCAAAAAGTCTACTTTTAATGTCTTTTGAAGTATCTTTCATATTTTTTCTAAAGACAACTTTCTAAGGCCAGCACTTTACTATATCAGATATTTTATTTTTATCAAGAGTCTCTTTTAATACTTCTGGTATCTGCCTATTCTGAAATATTTTATTTAACTTTTTCTGCTGATAATATGCTTTTGAATAGCACTTATTTACATGCAAATTACAATACCTGTATTTTGATACTGTTGGTCTTATACACCCATCTTATTTGCATAGAGGTCGCTGATATCTTTTCCAGTAAATATGACATCCTTCTAATCGCTCTGCAAGATTTTCACAAACCATTCCTTTATTAGAGTGATACTAGCAAATGTATTTATCCTTTGCAATATAATTATCAGTGAAAATAAATATGTCATCAGAATCATCTATCTTCAGTATCTCCAGCTAGCAAGAGGATTAAAATCAAAAAATTAATCAAAAAATAATATGTATCATAGGTTATGTCCTGAACTTTGTATTATATTTCACATATATTAATAAAAATTTTTTCTTGGCAAATTTATGGGATCACATGATTTTAGAAAATCACATGATATTTTTTTTTATTTTGAATACTTATATACAGTATATTAGTTATATATAGATTATGTTATCTGAGCTTAAATCATTGAAACAGCGTATCACTGAACTTAAAGCTGAAAATTCTGGTTTTAAAATCAAGCTCTCAGTGTCTGATGCTAAAATAGCTGAACTTAAGTGCAGTAGTGCCAAGATTCTAAAAGTGAATGGAAAATATAATGAGAGGTATAATGCTAAAATTTCCAAACTCAAGGTTATAATCGAAGAGTTGAAAAAAAATAATACTAAAGAGAATGCTGAGCTTAGAGATCATGTCACAAAAATGAAACAAAAGCAGATATAAAATGATAATATTCTTAATGATAATACCCCTAATGATACCTCTAATAATAACTCATCTAACTTTAATTCAGGTGTGATCCACCATGAAAAATCATCACAGGAATAAGAGATGAATGATTTCTTGAATGAGGTTAATAAGAAAAGCATTGGTGAAGATATTAGACAATACAATAAGGAGAAGAAACATCAGCATGAATCAGCTAACTAGGATATCATTTCAAACCTGCATACGTAGCAGAAACCAAAAATAATGATAACTTAGATGAGCCAAGGAATCAAAGCATTTTGGAAAAATCAGAACTTTTTGGCAATTTTGTGAATAAAATTCACAATTTTCATGATCGAAATATTGACAAATCTATATAGAATAACTGGTTGAACTATGACTTATCCTCCAGAAAGGATTTATTTGAGGATGACGATTTCACTGTTTCTTCCGAGCAGGTAGTAAAATGTGACTTGATGCAATAATTATCTGTTCCATCCACTAGTATAGATATAGAAATTTTGCTCACCTCACCAGTAATCGATAAAAAACAATAATTTTCTATTGATCACACATATAATAAGGCAACTGGTTTTATTACTGTCAAAAATATAAAACAAGATAGGATTGTAGACATGTTTGATTATCTTAAACTCTAGAGTCAAGTACTCATCATTAATATTATTTTTTCAATTAAAGATATAGGCTCAAATAGTAAAGTATAGGATTTAATATCAATTTGTACAATATGAAAAGTTTAGAGATGATTGTTCTAAGCCAGCCAGTCTGGAGCAGTGATCTTCAGTTTAAAAGAATTTGCTGACACGGTCAGTTTGTATGATATATTAATTTTTTTCCCAAACAAATGTGAGAAAAATATAAGAGTGTTTAGTTGCAATACAGAACCTGCTCTATAAGTTAATAGTGATAACAAAACCATATATTATGAAATGCTGAGGGACTCGTAATTTTAAGATCATTAAGCATAAAGCTAACTATGTGTCTTGCAAGGTAGATCTACATATAAAAAGGTATGAAGAATCTATTTGCATATGCTTTTGTAAAGCTCTTAACATCATGCGTTAATACTAACCACTTTCCTTATCTCCTTAACTTTTTCCAGCAATATAGGAGTATGTGAAAGTTCAGCCAACATTCCTGCAAATATTTTTCCCATAAAAATAACGCAAAAATAAGGTATATACATATATACCGGAAGTTATATATATAATAGATGTGAGTTTTTTCTCAACATGAGCCTTATATTTAGAAAAATAAGATGTCTTCCACTATCCAGGAAACTAGAAATATTCACCTCAACTGATTTGTTTGTGACGAGACTGTGAAAGATATTTTCTCTGTAGTAATTGATGAAAAATTGACTGTTAATAATCTCAAAGATAAGATCAAAAATGCTTGGCAAGATTCACAAGAAATAAAGATCAATCTATATAAAAAAGATTTTGCTCAGGATAATAATGCTTTGGTCTCTGCTGTAAATGAATCTGAAAAAAGACAGGAAGTATTAATTGATCCGCAAAAAAATATTTCTCAATATTTTTCCACAGAAGATACTACTCAACAAAAAGATCCTATTAACATCATCATATACCCCAGGTAGTGTTGGAAAAAAATCCCTTGGATACTGGACTCTAGCTAATCAGAAAGTGAGGAATTTTATCAGCATACTGTTAGCCTTGTTACTTTTTTTATTCACATAATGTAAAGTGATCTATTCGCATTTTTTATGTATTGTAGGCAACGAGTTATTTTCATAAATAAAGTATTATAGTGTACAATCTATTGATCTACAAATAGTAAATATTGTGTAATAGTTATTTATAAATGTTGTCATTATCATGTGACATAAAATTATACTTATAAAGGGTGAAATTAACATTTCTCTCTAACGCAAAACACTTCTCTTGAATAAAGTCTCAATAAATCAAAATGGCAAATGCTAATTCTAATGTATCTAACGCATCTGTCAGTAATGTTAATGTACCCAATGTCAGTAATGTTAACACACCTAATGTCGGAGGTAAGTAAGATTTTAGTGTATGTAGCAGTTTTCAAGTTTATTGATACCATTATTGTCATTTCAGGACAACTGTCTCCTGAACTGCAGAAAATACTTGATAGTTTGATCCCAAAACAGAGAAGAAGATATGATAACTCGAACCAAAATGTCGAGCTATTGGAAATGATTCGAGATGAATGACAAAAATCAGTAAATTTATTAAAATACTTATTTGTTTTTATTAAAATACTAATATACTGTGCTTCACGTTTACACTTAAGAAGTTTTTTCATCGGTTTCTATTTCCTACCAAACCATATAGGAAATCAGTTAGGAAATAGTCTCTGTTGCAATTTACATAATAATAACCGTGGCAATTACTCTCGCAAATGCACTATATTTTAAAAGTGATGAATCAACGAAAAAATTTTTCTTAATTATAAATAGTGTTTATTATGTGACTAAATTCGTTATTATGGGAATAAAGGTAAAAATTGATGGGATCATTTATAATAAAATTTTGCTTTTATTATCAGTATACCAATAATGTTAGGACTATTAATTGCGATGATTTTGGGCGTTTACGTTCAATCACCCGTAATCACAGTTAACTTTGTGAAAGTTGAATTGGAAGTGTCTAAGATTATCATCAAATTGGTTGCTCGCTAGTCTGAGGATTTGATTTACTGCCAACAAAATACAACAAAATACACGTCTAAAGATTTGCTAAAAAAACCAACAACACAACACGATTAATTGCATAATTTTTATTGAATAGCTTGAATTATTTGCTTTATTCAGGGGTGATGTAGATTTTTATTAAGTATTTTTATTTCAATGCATCACTTGCTTCTCAAACTATGCCAGCTAAAGCGAGCATACCATTTACATCTCGGGTAAGTACTTTCCGCCAGAATCTGTCCTATATACGGAAAGGAGTATTAGTATAATAGTGGATTGATAAGCAAGACAGTAAAAAATATTATTTCTTTGCGATGAGATCAAAGAACCTTGCTGAAGGAATAGGGGCTATGTAACGTGTGAATCGCATATATATATTTGCATTATTTTTTCTGACATGATTTGTATTTATTTTGTATTTATTAATATAGTAAGCCTTTACGATTGAATCTTCGCATTGTTTATTAGATCAAACCTGAGCTCATCGTATTCGAAAAGATTTAAACCTTTCACAGGATGGGCTAGAGCATCCAATAATATACGATTCACTAGGATACCACCAATCATTATCTTCTTCGATGTCATCATCTTCACTGTCATCATCAAACAGCCAGAACTCATTATCATCATCATGAAATAGCACCTCTGGCTCAGTATCAGCGCCTAACCCAAATTTATTATTACTGTCACTAGGACCAGAAATGATTAGTAAGCTTTGTTTCATAACTGGAGAGATATTTATTAAGATATACTTTAGTCGAGCTAGAACAATTCTTCGAATCAGACACTAAAGCATAAGCAGTATCATGAATGTTTAGTCACGGTCCGGTAACCACCTAAGTGAATTTTGTATAGCGCCTCCAGCTCGTAAAATGAAAATATTATTTCTTTTTTTGAATCATGTAGGTGACTTAGCCAAGCATATCATGCGCAGTAAAACATCACTAATTTTATCATATAATTAGCTGGTAGATCCCATATTTCTATTGGTTGGAAGTGAGAAGAGTCTACAGATATCATATGACATTGCATGTATTACGAACTAAAACTCCCAAACTTTTTGTATTAATTTTCACATGTATTTTTTACTTCCAATGATAACTGATCATAAATAAAAAAGAGAAAATTAATTTTTTGCTAATCGCTTATTTAATAGGCCATATTGCATATAATACAGTAGATCATAATTTCGTATATCACATTATTAGCTGTAGATCCTATTTTTATTGGTTGCAAGTGAGAAGAATCTTCATGATTATCATATGATACGGTATGCTACCATATTTTCTTACCTGACTTATCAATTCAACCCTTACCATGGCATCGTAATTATAAATAGATTATCATAGATTTTTTTCACCTTAATGGCGTTCCAGGAATCGATCGCATTACTTCTAATGAGTTTAGGTCATAAAGTGACTACCCATCTTTTCTCTGAACCTCCTCAGAGAGCTGAATATTGTTTGGCTTGCAAAAGGGAAATTATAAACTCACATGCGATGTTCCAATGTGGTCATACTTTTCACATTAGTTGTTGCAATGCATTTTCAGTCTGCAAAGAACAATGTCTAGAGTGTTGAAGCAATGTTATTGAATAGCTTGAATAACTCAGTTAGAAAAATATGAGTAGAGAAGAAAGATTGTTAGCTTTTATACATGAAGTGTCAACTGAATTGATAAAAATTGATAGCAATTTATCAAAAGTAATCCCTCAGGATTAGCCCTCAGTGATTCTACAAAAATTATCTTGAAGAGTGACAAGGCTAATTCCAATGCCATCTATTGCTATTATGAATTTGACTTAGTATTAATCTTTCGTTTCAATGAATTAATAGGGAAAGGGCAGAAGAGAGCATAAAATACATTAAATATAAAGGTTCAGAGATATTTACCAGCTAGTACTTCTCTAGCTGTGATAAAGGATAAAATTAAAAAAGCTAGAAAAATGGTTAAAATTTTTAGTGATGATTCATCTAAAATTCAATTTGTTCGTTCATTTTCTGTAGACCAGCTCTTAACTTTTAATGAAGATGATATCAACTTCATAAAATCAAAATTATCAAAGCTTGGGACGTCATGAATATGCGAAATACCTTAAGTGTTTTATTATGTCTTTTTATATCTTTTTATGTCTTTATATCTTTATGTTGTACGTACAATGATATGTTATACTTCCCTTCAATAAAAACTTTTAGCATGTAGATTTTATATTTAATATAAAACTATACTAGATAAATTTGTAGATATGTCATTAGTTCTTCCCTTTAGTAGTCATTTTTAGTCTGTATGATCTTTTGTTTCTCATAATTGATAAGTAGGAACATAATAGATAAATTTATAGCAAATGGAAGGATAACAAATCTTATATGTCAAACTCTTATTATATCTAAATATTTAAGTATTTAGCTTTTTTCGGCTGGCCAGCCAATTTACAATAAAAGTATTTTTCATTTTTTAGTGATATCTTTTAATCAATGAATCTGCTGTAGTGTGATAAAATAAAGTTTTATTTAGTTACTAATCGCATACATATATGCTAACATAGTATTATTTATAGAAATACAGTTATAAAAAATAATAGCTAAGTTTGTATTAGCAATAGCACTTTTATATTACATTAATGATTAATTAAATAATAATGGTGACTTATTCTAGTAATGCTAATTGTTATATGACATTATCTGAAGCTGATTATCTTATGATTTAAGTTGCGAGAAGGTTGCGAAAAAGTGCTAAAAACTGTTTGAGAAGCAGGGTGATACAAATTTTTATATTATATATTATTCAAAACTAATCCCTGTTAATCACGAGAGTTTTACAAACCACATGTAAATATAAAATTAGCTTAGCCACCTATATAAATCCTGCAATAGAATAAAAATGAATTTGGATTTACTAGCATGTAGTCTTTCAAATCAACTACAAATCAACTAATCACTATAAAGGATTAATTAATAAATCTGTATAAATTTGAATATGGTTTTATTATAGTATTATATTGCTAAATCAGCTAAATCAATAAAACACTATAAAATCATTATAATCTGTTATAATCTACTAAAATACTATTATGAATTTAGATAGTAGAACCTAATATAAGCTAGTTTCTGTAGGCTATAGTGATATAAACTTCAAAGAATATAGAAGAATATTAAAAGTATTATGTTCTTTAGGTGAATAATATGACTATAAAACATCAGAAATGTGATGCTTCTATATCTGTGCTCTATTTAGAAAAATACTTAAAGAGAACCCAAAAATTCTTTCTAAAAATGAATATATTACAATGTATAGAAATTTATATGAATATGATAAAGTCTATGGTCATCCATTAAATTATATATATTGTAATGTATGCAACTCCTTAGTTTTCATATCTGAAAATAGTAATAGAGCTAATTCATATCAGATAATCACTTGAAAAGATGTATTTTAAGAAATATTATTTCAAATGAATATATAAGAAGAAATGAAATTCTCAAATTTATTGATAGAAGGGAATTTCAAATCTGATAATATAAATAATACATATTACAAGAAGAGGCTAAAATTAATCATCTTTGTTTAGAGCTTTTCTCCTAATCTACTTCACACTCAGAAAAGAATAAATTAGTATTGATATCATATGATCATGATGGAAATTTTATGGCTAGCTATAAAAATTATACACAATCTAAAGCAACTGTAGCAAAAAATACTATGTCAAGTGCTCTAAAATTTGAGTCAGCTTGTATTTTACCTGCCAGACAAGAAGTAATTTTACTAACTTCTTATTAATCATTAGATTCCAAAGGAACTATAAGCGAAATATTTATCTTGTCTCAGTATGCAAAATAAAATAATTTATTATCATCCACAAAAGGCATTGTATTAAAATTAAGAGATAGGACAAAAGTCATGATTGTTTAACCGGTTTGACTGACTGATTCAGAGAAATGTTTTAATTATAGAAATTTATCTCAACTATATTTATAAATTATTTTTTTTGTGACTATATAATCTATATATAATGAAATTAGTCAAAGGTGCTATGCATGAAATGTATCACTTGCAGACGTTATGCATGATCTACCTATTCTGAGTTAGATCTTCTAATCTATTTTAATAAAGTATTTTTTTTGAGTTCAGAAAGATCAATGAAGTGATCTTGGGAATTCTTGATTGCGAGACAATATAACTATCAGTTTGAGAATTTCTATACAACAGTATTTTAGTAAGCTTATAAGAATTATAAGAAAAGATCTGAATCTTTGGTAAAATGAGTTTAGAAGATGGTGAGAAATAATGGTACTCCTGATGATATGAAGTTTTTAGGTATAAAAAATGAATTAGAACAATCAGGATATATTTGTTATGAGAATGAGAAACGTTATTATCCAATAAGAAATGATTAGATGTATAAGAAGAGAGCCTAATTATGACAACGATTATCTTTTATAACATTTATACTTATTAAGAAATTATTATATTAGTAAGGCTATATAGTTATTAGAGATACATATTGATTTGACATGTTAAAA